AGACAAACTTGTCTCCCCCAAACAGACCCCAACGGAAATAAAGAAAGTGAGAAAAAAAATTCTCCATACTGCAAAAGAAAAAAATATATATATATATAAAATAAAGATGTAAAGATTCGTGTTTTGAAAGAAAACATCTTAACTTCAAGGGCCTGGGCCCATCATCACCTGATACGTAGGAGTTAATTCAACCGTTTTCCAGCCTGTAGCGCTGTGCCCTTGTGCTCAGGTTTTCCCTTTTGTATTAAGATCTTAGCACTAAAAGCTCAATTCCATACGCGGGGTTGTGGGGCCAGAGTGTGGGGTACTCGAGACCTGGAAGCGCCCTCAGAAGGGGGCTGAGCTATTGATCCTGGCTTTCACTCCTTTCTTCCCCAAACAAGTCTTGATTAACAAGTCATTTTTGTCCTGAGGTGTGGCTCACGGGACTCAGCCTCGCCAAGGGAAAAGAAGCAGGAGCACTGGGTACATCCTCCGTGTGGTGCCACCGGCACCCCCATCCAGCTCCAACATTTCCTGGCTGGGCCTCCTCATTTCTGTCCCTGGCCCTGGAAACCACCAGTCCCCTTTTTGACACAGGATTTCAGTCATAGCTAAAAAAAAAAAAAAAAAGTTATTTACAGCAAGGGCTGAAAGTGTGAACTGATGGTTTTACTTCCTTTTTTATGATACCAGGCAAACTTGGGGGGCACTTAACCACTGAGCCCCATCTCCAGACCTTTTTATATTTTCCTTAGAGACAGAGTCTTGCTAAATTGCTGAAGCTGCAATCTTCCTACCTCAGCCTCCCAAGCCACTAGGATCACAGGTGGCCACCAGCCCGCCTTCCATGTGTTTTAAATATTTGTAGGAGCCAGCTTTCCAGTCAGTGTTATCAGCAACTCGTTTTTCCTCTTCTGTGCATTCATTGCCTGTTGACTCTTGGTCTACGGGTATTTTAGGATTTTTCTTAATGATTTGAATAAATTATTTGTCTTTTCTTTCCTTCTTTTTATTTTGAATAAATGGTGTCTGTAACAAAGATATTAGTCCTTAGAGTCTTTTGCCTACAGTCTGTTTTTAATCACTGTAGGAAATTTATTTTTTACCTACATTATTTTCTACATAGACCAAACAAGTACAAGGGTATAGCTACCAAAAAACAAAGACAACAAGAAAGAAAGAAAAAAAAAAAAAAAGACACAGCATTTACCATTCTGAGCCATTTAGGGTCCAGATTGCTGCCCCTTCTAGAATTGCAAACAATGCGCCTTAAGACCCTTGAAAATAAAGCAAACCAACCCCCTTTCTGCTTCTGTGCTGGGAAGCTGGGTTCCTTGTGAGCTGGTGAGCGGGACTGTACTTTCCCTCCAGTTGAATCTCTGTTTGATTCAATCCACTTGGAAGTTACTTTTTTGCAAATGTTAGATATGAGTCTACATGGGTGATTTTAGTGTAAAAGGAAACAGAGGTTTCTCCACCTGAGATGTGGGGCAGGTGTGATTGAACAAGACTGCAAGGCGACTTGGGGACCAGTAGAGGCTTGTTACTGCCCTTTCCCTTAATGGAAACTTGCCTTTGGCTTGTAAAACCTCAGTGGAGGCATGCAGTTGGGAGCTCGAGAGCGGGTCTAGGTGGATGCACATTATCTGAATGACAGGTCCCCACTGGGTGGGGCCCGCGGAGCAGGGAATCCAACGGCAGGGCCCGCGTTCACCCGGTCATGGGTGCAAACAAGGGTGACACCGAGTCCTGCCTACCTACATCTCAAAATGCAAAAGCCTCAGGTAGCCTCCCCGTCGGGGAATCGAACCCCGGTCTCCCGCGTGACAGGCGGGGATACTCACCACTATACTAACGAGGAAGAGCCATGCCAGCGGTTCTCCAGGGTGGCTCCTGTGGATGGCGAGCTCTCTCGGGTCCCGCAGGGCGGGGTCCGCGAGCGCGGCGCTGCCTGGCTGGGCTCCAGGCCGGGGCCGCTGCCTATCAGGCTCCCGCGCAAAGACTTCCCGTGCGGGGGTGTAGCTCAGTGGTAGAGCGCATGCTTTGCATGTATGAGGCCCCGGGTTCAATCCCCGGCATCTCCATTCGTCTTCTTTTGCCTCATTCTTTGAATCACACGTCTGCTTGGGGGACCCAGGCACCCCCTCCGGAAAGTCCCTGCAGCCGGCCTGGTTGAACTGGCGCTTGGTCCCCCAAGTCACCCAGCAGGCGGGAAAGCTCTGCATTTGTACAGAGGTTGCCTCCGGTGTTTCTGAGCCCCTCAGGCCAGGGAGTGTGCAACACTGAGCACCTTCTTGTGTGCCTAAGGATAGTGCCAGGTTCCCTGGACTCCCTGCCTGGATTGACCGGGCCAGGCGTCTCAGCCTTTTCGGGATTCACGCACCAGACCAGGGTACCAATAGTGGGCAACGGAGTGATGAGGTGGGAACTAGGGGGATGTCGGAGCCTCGGAGGAAACCGCAAGTGCAAAGGCCCTGGGGTTGGAGCAGGGGCTGCTCTGTGGTGAGTGCACACAGCAACCCTGCACTTGGTCTCCAGGCTCCTTGGGGATATACTGGGAGGGCAGGGAGATGAAGGCAGGAGCAGGTGGGGCCTGCTGTGGAGGACACTGCAAGGCCCAGTGCTGAGCATGACCGGATCACATTTAGTTTTAAACAGCTCCCTCTGGTGGCCGGGTAGAGACTGTACCCTGGCAGGTGGGAGGGACCCCGGGAAGTCCAGCCAGGCGCCAGCCCAGGCCCAGAAGGAGTCAGTGGAGGCTTCTCCAGCCGGGCACAGTGCAGCTGGGGAGCCGAGGGAGTTGCGCACGTCCCTAATTGGGGCACAACACTTTATGGGCCACTCCTTGGTCATTCAGGTTCACTTGAGTCTGAAGCATTATGGTCGCAGGGTACACTGCTGTCCTTGCCCATTGGTCCTGTGTCGCTCTGCGGGATGGACTCCTGCCACAGCATCACAGGGCCCAGGGACAAAGATGCTTGTATTTAAAAATACTTGTATTGGAAATTTTACTTGATTCTTCCCCTACGGGCAGCGCCTGGCCTCTTTACTAGGGATGGTGGACGTGCTCTCTGCCCAGCTTCCAGCCAGCAATGGGTGTTGCCTTCTTAATTTTTCAATATATGCTGGGAACAAAGTGTCACTGCATTATTGACATTGTGTCCCTTCCCCACCTGCTGAGAGGGCAGGCATCTTCGTGAATGTCTGTGGACCACTTGGTGTGCCCATGGCTGAGAAAGGTTTGCAAAAGGAAAAAGGAGCTTATTCCCAAGCGGAGCTGGGGGACCAACTCTCAAAATGCCGCCCCAGGACAGGGTTTGGGGATATTGTGGGACAAAGCAACAGGGTGATTAAGGTGTGGAGAATAGGGACAGGAGTGACATCATTGAGGTCTGCACAGGCCTAGCCAACCCTTGTGGCCCGCCACCCGGCCGAGTGCTCAGCTGTGAGCGATAGGGGTGCGGTTTTCAACCTTCAGAAGGTCACGGATGGTGGGGTGCTGGGGGTGAGGTTCAGCAGAGTGTCTGCCTGGTGCGAGCTAGGCCCTGGGTTCCACCCCAGCGCTGGAAGCAGGAACAACAAAAAGTCACCTACTGGGCCCAGTGCAGACGGCCTGCTCTCCCTGGTCTTGCTGTTGAGGGTCTTGCCCTGGGATGGCTTGTGATCCTCCTGCCTCAGCTTCCTCAGCTGCTGGGATTACAGGTGTGCCCCACCGCACCTGGCTGTTTTAATTTGAGGCAGAGTCTCCCTGTGCCACCCAGGCTGTCCTCCCAACTCAGCCTCTGCAGCCGCTGGGACCGTGGGCAGTGCCCCTCAGCCCTGGCGGGACCATTCTGGCTGCCCGGTGGGGATTTTCTGCAGCTCTCCTCATCAGAGTCTTCACCCGTTGTCTCTCCCAGTTGCCCAGGGCTCATCCTGCATGTCAGGCTGTCTGTCATGTTTCGCAGCAGTTTTCCTGTGTATTCTTTCATTTTCCAAATAAGTCGCTCTCTATGTCAACTTGGAATTTCCAGAGCCCCATGGCTCCCCTTTCCTTGCAGCTCCGGGGGTGTCCCTCTGTTTAAGAGCCTCCCTGGACTTTTACAAACACTCCTCGCAATCCTCCTCTTAACCTTTGTGCCACTCTTGCGGGGATGCAGATGGAGAGCAGGGCAGAGGGTCTGTTCTCCCTGGTCCTGCTGCTGCGGTGGACGGCCCTTGGATGGCTCAGAGGGCTGGACTTCTGTGACAAACCAGGCCAGGGGGCAGGAAGGAGGTTCAGGGTGTCCCAGGGGAGGGAACAGCGCCCACAGGCCACAGGCTACTGAGAGAAGGGAGGAGGGCAGGGTGGCTGGGGTGTGGGGGCGATGCCCTGGCAGTGGGGCACCTGCATAGCCTCCAGGCCCCTCTGGAGGGAGTCCCCACCGTCCTCTCCGCACCGTGAGGCTGTTCCGCAGTGGAGTAGAGCCAGCCAGGGCTGTGCATGGAGGCCAGCGCTCAGCCCCTCCCAAGGCCATGGGACCTCCCATGTCCACCTCTGCCCGCCTGGTGGGCACACGCACAGGAGTGGAGCGGTGCCTGTGAGGATGCCCAGCTCAGACCACTCATGGTAGCAGGAGGAACCAGCGAAAAACAGCACGGTGGGGTGGAGCTGCCCACAGGGCCATTCTGCCGATGGGTCAGCTCAACTGCAGACAGGGGCTTGGAGAGCCACCGGGGAGAGAGCAGGGCACGGGGCAGGTTTAGGGTGCCCCTGGGTGGTGTGTGGAGAGGGGCACCCAGGAGGGCTGCTCAGCATGTGCGAGCCCTGAGCCTCGTCCCCCTCACATTAATTACTTGTCCTTCAAAGGACGCTATCAAGAGAGCAAAAGGGTGGGTGACCCCTGGGAGAAAATGCCTGCACACCATTCACCTGACCAGGAACAGGGACTTGTTCTGCACACTGCCCCGGCACTGGGCACCGAACCTGGGGTGCTGGGCACTGAGCCAGGTCCCCTGCCCAGTCCTCTCACAGCTCAACAAGGAGACAAGGAACCCAGTTTAAAAATGAGAAAAGCAGCTTTATTCACAATAATGAAAAGGTGGGGACTGTGGAGCACGCAGGTCCACAGGGAGAAAGGGTTAGGGGAGGGACGGGCGTGTCACGCTGCTGAACAGGAGGGTGTGAGGCACGCGGGTGGTGGTGACGGTTGACCAGAAGGCTGACAGCAACAGAGAAGTTTCCTGGGGCTCAGCTGCAGGTCCTGATCCACAGACAGCGGGTCCCCAGCTCTGGACCGAGTGCGGCAGGAGGCCATGGTGGAGAGCGGCTCAGGACATGGCACCAGGAAGCAGAGCAAGCCGTTGACAGGGGCAAAATACAACCTCACAGCATTCGGCCCCTCCTGCCTGCCTCTATCCTTAGTCCAGTCGCTATCCTGCTGACAGGTGGAGCCACCTACTCCACCTGGGAACTTCTTACACTGCCTCCTATGTAAGCCTTGGGGACGCCTCACACGAAAAACCTGGCGGCACCCAGTGCCCCCGAACTGAACCAGTTAGGTGGTGGGATACTGCCAGGCTCTGTGGCTCCCACTGGTCATCCCAGACTTGGGAGGCTGAGGCAGAGGCACCACAGGTGAGAGGCCAGTCTCAGCAGTGGAGGCCATGTCCTCAAAATAAAAAATAAAAAAAAAGGGTGGGTGTGGGGAGCCTTCCAGCCTGACGCATCGGCTCTGGCCAACCTCTGCATTTGCTGGGGTTTGGGTGCTGACCGTTCAGACAGCAAGGAGGGCTTCTTGGCGGGTGCACCCCTAGGGCTGAGTTACACCCACCTGCCCCTTCTTGAATAGAACTTTTTCTTTTTTAAAAAAAATTTAGTTTTTGGTAGACATCTTTATTTTTATGTGGTGCTGAGGATCGAACCCAGCGCCCCGCGCATGCCAGGCAAGCACACTACTACTTGAGCCACATCCCCAGCCCATGGGATAGAACTTTCTTTTTTTTTTTTTATTTTAATATTTTTTAGTTTTCGGCAGACACAACGTCTTTGTTTGTATGTGGTGCTGAGGATCGAACCTGGGCCGCAGGCATGCCAGGCAAGCGTGCTACGGCTTGAGCCACATCCCCAGCCCATGGATAGAACTTTCTAAGAACAGTGTCCCCCCAAATAAAAGCTCACTTCCAAGTGTGCGTCCCTCTCTCGTCAGCCTCTCACGCCTTTCTTGCTTTCCCTTTTGGGAAGCCTGAGGCTGAGCCGGGGGAAGCCATCCTGAAGCTTGTGTGAAGGTAAGTTGTGTCCGTTGTATTTTGTGTCCCTACAAATTCCCACGAGCGGCTGCCTGCACTGGTCTGAGAGGCAGATGGGTGTGGCTCAGTGGTAAGATGCCCCAGGGTTCAGTCCCCAGTAATAAAAAACACAACAAAGCCCCAAAGATAGTGTCGTGTATTTATTACAATAAAAGCGCTTCCCCAGTGCTAGGGGCTGGAGTGGGGCACCAGGGCGCCCCACTTCTAAGCTCCACGCTCACCGCACCGCCCCCCCCCCCCCCCCCGCTTTTTCTTTAGTTCTGGGGATTGAACCTAGGGTGCCACGTCCCCAGCCCTTTTTGAGACAGGGTCTTGCTAAGTTGCTGAGACTAGCTTTGAATTTAAGATTCTCCTGCCTCAGCCTCCTGAGCTGCTGGGGTTGCAGGTGTGTGCCCCACCTCCAGCTCTCAGCCCTTCTGGAAACGGGGTCTCCCTGAGTTGCCCAGGCTGGTCTTGACCTTCAGACCCCCTGCCTCAGCTTCTGGAGTGGCTGGGATGACGGATGAGCACCACCACACCCACCAAGATGACGTTTCCCTTTGGTGCTGGGCTATAACTGAGGGTGCTCCACACTGAGCCACGTCCCAGCCCTTTTAGGCTAGTGGGTGACAGACCACCAGCAGTTCTGGGGTGACCCTGAGGTGTTCCACCACTGAGCCACACCCCGCCTCTCCTGCTTGTCCTTTTGAGCAGGGCCTTGCCTTCAGCGGCTCAGAGTTACCTGGGACTGGTGACCCCCTGCCTGGTCACTAGGATTGTGTGCACCACTGTGCTCAGCTGTACCTTAAAAATAGAACTGTGTATTTGGAATTGCGGTTCCTTGGGGTGGCTGCTGGTGACAGGGGGGACTGTGGTGGCTGCATGGTCCCCATGAGGGTGGCTGAGATGGGGCACCTGCTTCCCTCCTGGCGCTGCCAGCAGCCATACTAGGGCTTCCAGAGAAGCTGCCATCGCAGCCCAGGTCTGTGCGTGGCAAGGAACCCAGGTCCTCCTCCTTGTGCTGGGCTGGTGACGCTCCTCAGGCTGGTGATGCTGCCCAGGAAGCTGGTGAGGGGAAGAGCAGGGCCTGGCTCCAGAAGGGGGCTTTGAGAGCAGTGGGAGGTGAGGCTGCAGGGAGGGAGGCCATGCTGGGGGCCAGGCCATGCTGGGGACTCAGGCAGCAGGGCCAGGCTCCACCATCTCAGCTCAGGAGACACTGGTCCTCACCCCACAGGACATGCAGGCCGGAGATGCCCCTGATGCCTGGTGCCTCCTGCTCCACCTTCCATCTTAGCCTTAGAGGAAAGGGCAGGACAGAGGGGAAGGCAGCGTGGCCAACCGTCAGGGGGACGGAGGCTCAGTCCCTGTGGCCAGCCTTTCACAGGGAGGCCCTCAGGTGAGAGCGGAGCTGTGAGGTGGGCCTGCCACGTGGGATAGCTCGGAGACCAGGCTCAGGGCTGGGCAGCCCCGGGGGCTCCTTCTGCCACAGGGAGGGGCTCCACAGCTCTGGGGAGGGCCAGCAGGTGCCCCCAGTCCTGAGTTCCATGGGGGCTAATGTAGCCCATAGAACACGTCTAACACAGGACCAGATGGGAGGCCCAACAATTGTCCACCTTATAATAAATAGTTATGAAAAAGGAAGCAGGCCAGGGGGCTGGGTGCTGCCAGCCCCTTCAGTACCCCTTCAGTCTCCAGTCCAGTCCTGCAGCCAAGTGTCCAGTCAGCGGTCAGAGGTGGGGGGCCAGGCCTTCTCGACGCTGGCGTGCATGGCTTGCGGGAGCCACTCACAGTACTCAGCCAGTAGGTCTACAGACGGAGAGAGGACAGGGTCAGTGTGGTCGTGTCCAGGACTCATGAACTGGGGACACCGCCATCCACTGCAGGGTCAGGTCCCCCCTGCATAAAGCACTGAAGCCTCCTCCCGCCGTGGCCAGACTCACATTTGGGGTCTTTCTTCCAGGCGGCAAGCAGGGCATCCCTGCAGTCGGCCTTCTCGGCAACCAGGGCCCTCAGCAGACTCTCCGTGCGGGGCTGCAGCCTGTGAGCAGAAGGTGGGCAGTGGGTAGGGGAGACGTGGGGAGGTGTGGGGTCTGCAACTGGTGGGCCCAGGGGGGAGGATGCTTCCTGTCCCCAACTGCCTATGCTGCAGTGGGCTGACCAGTGATCTCCTGCCCAAATTCATGCCCTACCAGAACCGTGGAGTGTACAGTTATTTGAGATGAGGGTGGACTGTGTTAGGGTGGCCCCAAATGCAGTGACTGCGTCCACACAGGAGTAGACAGAGTGCGGAGGAAGAGGCTGTGGAGATGGGCTGATGCTGCCATAGGACGCCAGTGGCCAGAGGGGCTGGAGGGGTGAGGCCCGGCCACATCCTGAGGACGCCTAGGGCCTCCAGCACCGAGGAAGCCACTGATGTTTGCAGACCCCCAGTGTATAGCAGCCTGTCACGGCCGCCCTCGGGAGGGCACATGGCTGTCACCAGGCACCAGAAGTCCATACCTGGCCCAGGTCTTCAGCATGGTGCTCGGGCTGGACAGCAGGCAGCCCTGGTAGGAAGCCAGCTTGCAGAAGACCTAAGGAGACCACAGGAGGTGAGCCCGGCCCGCCCTAGGCCGCCTGAGAGGAGAGATCACGGGAGTCGCGGGCAGCCCACCTGCCCTTCCAGCAGAAACCGCGCAAAGTGCTTGTAGCGGTCGAGGCCCTCTGGATAGTCCACCTGGACGGCAGGGAGTGGCCAGCTGACGCGATCTGGAGGGACAGCAGGTGAGTGAGGGACCCTCCAGCGGCTGCCCTCCCAAGCTGCAGGTGAGTCCTTGGACCCGACCATGGGGACAGGAGGCCCCAGGTGAAGCCCTCAGAACTGCACCCAGGCCGGCCGTGACCATGGGTCCCAGGACTCAGGCTGCAGGGTGGAGCCGAGCCCCCAGGAAGCTAGTGGACTCACAGAACACGCTGGTCCGGTGACAAAGCACCCGTCCCTGCTCGGGGCAGTAGGTGGGGGCTGGCTCCTCCAGGGGCTTGTCAAATTGGCAGTAGGAGGGCAGCAGGGCTGGAATCCACTGGACCTCCACGGTGCAGACACCTGGGGCCGGGCAGAGGCCAGCGTCACCAAAGCTCAATGCCCTCGCTACAGGGGTCCCAGGCCACAGCCCACAGCACCCCTCAGGGCAGGGAAGGCTGGCCACAGGGGTTGGCCACAGGCACAGCACCTTTCATGTACATCTTGGTGGTCTCCACGATTTCCTGGTAGACCACGAACTCTGGGAGCTCTCTGAAAAGGACGGAGCTGGGGTGGATGAAGACGGGGTCATCCAGGAGAGGGGTCTGCAGAGGGGAATGACAGCGTTCAAGGAATGGAGACCCAAGCGCCAGTAGCCAGCCGCCTTTGACCCACAGAACCCAACCACACACTCCCGGCCAAAGCAGGAGCCCCCATGAAGGACGGCCAGGTGGACCCACACCAGCACTACGCCTAGCACACACAGGACAGAGCCACGGACTATGTGGACGGACCTAAAAACGGGATGCTGGGTGACAGAGCCAGCCACAAAGGCCAGATCACGTCCCCCACTGACATGAAATGTGGTAGAGGCAAATCCAGTCGGAGCCCACGCTGAGGGAGGGGCGGGGCCTGTGTGCCTGGCCAGGCAGGGCAGGGCAGGGCAGGCTGGACGGCCCATGAGGACCAGAAGCCCTGCCCGGCTCAGGCTGGCCCACCTTGTAGGCGTTCCTCCACTTCTCATCCAGCAGCTCCTCGCTCTGCACCCTGCGGGCCAGGTGGTCGCCCAGGCCGGCCGTCACCATCTGTCGTAGGTAGGTCACCTGGCTCTCGGTGGGTGGCTGCATCTTTGGATCCACGAAGAGCCCAGCCTCAGGGCACACGGCATTGACTGGGCAGAGAGCAAAGTGAGGGCAGTGGTGGGACTGGGGTCGTTCAACCCTGACCTTCAGAAGGCTCCACAGCTCAGAATGGCAGCTGGGCACCTGGCCTGGCCCTGAGACCCTCCCACGCCCTCCTTCCTTAGGCTAGGACGGGCTCCTGTGAGTGGCAGAGTGTCCCGTGGAGACAGCCGTCCCCAAGGCCCCAGGTAGCCTGAGACCCTGTGCTAGTCCACGTGATGAAGACCGGGGATGGGGTGGGGGTGGAGGGCGCCCAGGGGTGCCGGTGGCTTCCTGGGGGTGCCATCTAGGGGCAGGGCGGCAGGCAGAACCTCGCTGGCCTTCCTCTCCACCCTGGAGAGTGGCCTGGGGACATGACTGGCAAGGCCAAGCTGCCATCAGTGTGCAGGGGGCTCCTGCAGTTTTAGGCTGACACACTGGGTACGGGGCTGGGTAAGGGGACAGACAAAGTGCGGTGACAGGACCCCATGATGCACCTGGTGCTCAGGAAACATCAGCTGGAAAAGCCACTGATTCTGGCACCAAACCTTGTAACCTGCTTTCCACTAAACAAGCACTCCCCGTCCTCCTCAGGGAAAGGCACGGGCTGCCTGTGTCCACGCTGGCCCCCGAACGTGTGTCGCTGGGAGGGGACATTCCTCTCCCTGCCAGCCCCCAGGTGTTGCTGGCAGGAGGTCATTTGTGTTGCTAGCTCAGGTGTGAAGGCCTAGGGTCCTGGGGGACACCAGGGAGGTCAGAGAGGCCCACCAGGGCAAAAAATAGGGACGGGGCATCATCAAGGAACAGATGGCCCAGAAGGAAGCTGCTGGGTCACCACACACTGTGGCACAGGGAGCCCACACAAAGACTGGGGGCCTGGTGGGTGAGCTGGCAAGACCGCCATCTGTTCTGAAAAGTTCAAATGCTGCAAGAGCCGAGGCCAGGGGTGGCAGGTGCACTGAAGGCCACGGGCTGTACCTGCAGTGGTCAGCTGGCCCCGCAGGCGCCGGATCTCCAGCATGGCCTTGTACCGCAGCCCGTTGGCCTCACAGAACTGGGGCGAGCAGCCGGCGTACTCACAGGCTCCCACGGCACCTGGGGATGAGGGGTGTGCTCACTCACAAGCCCCACCCCGGACCAGGGGACCTCACACCCGGTCATGCCCCTGTGGCAGATACCCACCCAGCAGCACCATGAGGTCACCGAGCTTCAGGGAGGCTCCCTGCCCCGCCCAGGCCCTCTTCACCTGGGCCACCCGTGACCGCCGGGCCTTCAGCATGGCGAGTTCGTCCTCGCTGGCTGCTGGCCTGCAAACACACATACTGCCCTGTGGCCACCCTGTCTCCCTCAGGGCCGCAGGGGTCACGGTGAATACCAAGGTCAGAATGTACCACCAGCAGCCGCCAAGATGAACTGCACGCCCCTGGACAATGAGGCGGATGGGGGAAGGCGGCCCAGCACCCCAGCTGCGGAGCAGGCACCAGGGCAGCAGACGACGACAGCGCCCCCCAAGCCCCACACTGCACTGATGTCAGGTGGGGGCATGGCTCCAAGTGCTCTGGTGACATCAGCTCTCTGAATTCCAACTCCCACACAAGGGGACGCTCATCGCCGCCCAGTTCTCCAGGTGGGCACGAGGCTCAGCGCTGAGTGGCTCCTGCATGTTCAGGCGTGTGCACCTCGGCCCCCCAGGCCCGGCCAGGCAGGAGTGAGCCGCGGGGCGTGGCGGGTGGGTTGACCGCCCGCCTGACGGTGATGCCCTTGCACCCCTGGGTCCCCACTCAGCCCTGGTCCCACCATCTTTCAGAGGTAGTGGAAGGCACTACAGCCACCTGACATGCTCAGGGGGACGGGCCTCCCGCAGGGCCACCCAGCCACAGGCCCCCTAGCGTCGCCAAGCCCAGTACACAGCGCACCTGTCCAGCTCCTCGAACAACTCCCGCACAGTCATGGCGGCCACGATGGCGATGGCATAGGGCAAACAGCCATGCTGCCGGCTCAGTGCCAGCATCTTAGCATAACGGGGTGCCACAGGGAAGGTGGCCATGGTCCTGCCCAGCACCGTGATGGGGCAGCTCAGCCGGGACCTCTGCAGCTGCTTCAACCTGGAGACAGAGGCTGCGGTGGGTGAGACCCCACAAGAGGCACCCAGCCAGAGCCCAGCCACGCCTGCCTGGCTCCGCCCACCTTCCCATCCGGCCCGGCCCCACCTTACTGCCTGCCTGGGAGCCTGCAGGGCCCCCAGTGCGATCAGCAGCTCCTCAGCAGCCACGAGGGCCTCCGTGGAGGGAGGCGTTGGGAAGGGGAAGTTGATGACCTGAGGAGACAGGCAGGTGAGGGGACATGTGGCCACGTATGAGCACTGCTTGCTGCCCCTGCTCCCGGCGACCTTCTGCCCTGCCCTGAGCACCACTCACGCCACCCAGGACGTGGCCTGGGCACTTGGAAGCTGCCGAGAGTGCTCTCCAGACCCAGGGGCAAGGTTCCTTGAGCCCCTAGCACATACACACCACTCGCTCACCAGGAGCACGTCCCGAGCACCCACTGCACGCCAGGGCTGTCCCCGAGCACTACTGCCCAGGGGAGTCAGCAGGGTCATGTGAACAAGTGACACTAAAGAACAGTGCCCCAGAGAGACGGGGAGGGGAGAGTGGTGGGGCACAGGGACGTTGGCCCTCGGGAATGGCCAGGTGGACTGGTCACAAACACCTAGACACACATCCATGGTAGCCGAGGCACGACAGTCCATGCCTGTCAGTGGGCAAGACCACAGACATCATGGCCGTCTAGCCAGAAGAACGTGGCAGACATGCCACCCACGACCCCCGAGGACATGCCACACTGCAGCCAAGCCCAGGAGCCCGCAGTGTGCAACTCCGCTGCAGGAAACACCAACAGGAGGCAGGGCTGCAGGGAGCGGGTTTCCGGCGTGATGAAAATGGCCTGCACCGCTCTGTGAGCACCTGAAAACCATCTGAAATGGGCCAAATGGCTGAAGGGTGTGGTTGCACATGCACCTCAACACGCTGTCCAAACAAGCGTGATGAGGAATGGACTTGAGGGGGCTAAATCCTGAGCAGGAGGCAGTGGTCTACATGCAGTACAGGGGGCAGCATGTGCAAAGACCCTGGGGTGGGAGGAGTGTGGCCCACTGAAGGGATAAGAGGACTGGACAACTGATGGTAGTGCGCCACAGTGAGCAGGGATTGCTGGGCAATGAGGTCTAGGGGAGGGCAAGCAGGACCTTACTCAAGAGCAAGAAGATTTTCCACAGAATTGATTTGATCTCACTTATACAAAGACATTCCAAGTGGGGCTCTAGGGCAAGGACCAGCTCCGCACTCGCCACCCACCATCCAGCCTGGGACCCACGCCAGGCCTGGCTCATGCGTAAAATGGGGACCACCGAGGGTAAACTGAGGCCACAGCAGCACAGCACCCTGCACAGCCGGGCACGCGCTCTCCCAAGAGCCGCCCCGGCCCCGGCTGTTCTTAGTAGGCAAAAGGATCAAGCCCAAGGCAGCAGGTGGACTGATGGGTGAAAGGCAGAGAACCCACAGAAACACAGGACGAACATGTTTAAAAACATGACGGAGGCCACGGGGCCGCGGCCGGGGATGGCGGGAGGGATTCATGTCATCTCCGAGGATCTCAAGTACATGAATCTCTAACCCTGAACACCGCACATCTGAATCAGAAAATGAAAGAGGACTTTCTTTTTCATCTTCAGAGATGGGGTTCACTGTGAGGTGGTGCCAGCGAGCCATTAAGTGTGGAGATTCCTTATTGGTTGACTGCTGTATCTAGTTTATGTTAATTAAGATAAGCTGTGTGGAATGTATATATACCCCTCCTGTCCTACAATAAATAGCTCCAACTCCTGTACACAAGTCGTTCGTCACCCCCTGGTTATTTTGTTGCAGCCGGACTGCGGCAGTTCACCATGCTGCCCAGACTGGGCTTAACTCCTGCCTCAGCCTCCCAGGAGCTGGGACTGCAGGTGAACGCCGCTGAGCCCCACAAGGACATTTAAAACGTGTTGTTTTAAAAAGCAACAGAAGGCCACCTGGGTTCTGCCACTTGTCTCTGGGTAAGGACCCTCACTTGCTGGCCTTGGTTTCTCCACTGTTAAGAGAGGACCTGGACATCTGTGGCAGGGCAAGGGGCCTGAGGGGGCGGGTGCCTGGCTCAGCATGGATGGCACCCTGCTGGCCACCAGTCCTAGAGTCAGGACAGGGTCCTTCCTCCTCACAGGACTGACCAGAATCCACAGCCCCTGCCCACAGCCCACAGGTTGCACAGGACTCGCTGCCTAGGTGCCTCTGCCCCTGGGAGTCCAAGGGGAGCAGTCCTAGGGAGGTGTCAGTCACGGCAGCCACAGCTTCCAGGCTCTGGCAGGAACGGCCACAGGAGCTGGGGGCGTGCAGCTGGGCAACACTGACCTTCTCAATGTTGAGAGCTTTCATCTGCAGAATCAAGTCCTCCACGGGCCTGCGGGTGATCTCAGGAGGAGGGAACTGCTCGAAGTCACCGAAGACCGCAGAGGAGTACAGCCTACCGAGAGAGCAGGGCCATGAGGACGGGCGACACAGCCTGGGCGGAGGGTGGGGACCAGAGGGGGACGGGCGGAGGGTCACAGCCTGGGCGGAGGCTGGGGGCCACGCGGTGTCCTGCCTTCTCATGGGAGGAGAGGGTGACAATGGTGGGCAGGCGGGCAGCTAGAGAGGACAGAGCAGACCCTGCAGGTGCCCCCCCCCCAAAAAAAACCCCAAAACAACACAGCAGGAGGCTGGGGACACACCTGCAAGGACCTAAGACTCACTTCACACAGGTGCCAACAGGTCAATGACAAAAGGACAGCTAAGCGCTGGAAACTGAGCACGAGCTCAGAGGGCTCCCCAGGGAAACTCGGGACAGCGAGAGACGCTGTGGGGCTGTGCGGGACGCGCAGGGCAGAGCCATGCCCAGGATGTGTCAGGCCAGCACTGCATCAGTCACCGGGGATGCAGGAGTCCAAACCATCAGACACCACCCCACACACCCAGGTGGCCAGATGGATGAGCCGGGGGAAAGCAGCATGTGTAGGAGGAGCCCGTGTGGAGGGGCGCGGTGCCCCTGGGAACCAGCTGGACAGGTCCTCGGAAAGTCAGGCAGGAGCTGCCACATGACCAGGGACTCATCCCTGGGTCACACCCACGAGAAACGAAGACACTCAACCCAGTACCGCGCCACATCCAGGCAGCCCTGCTCACAGCTCAGAAAAGTGGCCACAGCCAGGTGGGCAGCACACGCCTGTGATACCCTCGACTCAGGAGGCTGAGGCAGGAGGATCAAGTTCAAGGGCAGCCTCAGCAACTTATTTCCCACAGTAAGAAATACAAAGGGCTGGGAATGTGGCTCAGTGCCAAAGGAAAACGGGCACAACCCATTGCCCATCTGCTGAGAGGTGAGCTGGGCACCCCACGCTGCAGACCGGCCAGCGGTGGATGGAATGGGGTAGCCATACTTGCCATGACGTGACAAGCCCCAGAATCTTGGGCTCAGACGGAAGCTGGCCACCCCAGGCCACCCACAGCAGGACCCATTCCACTCAAGGGGACAGCAGGCCAAGGGGGTGGGAGGCCTCACAGGGCTACCAGGGACCGGGAGAAAGGGGAGTGAGCGCTATGGGTATGGGGTTCTGTGGGGAGATGGGACCTTCTAAGCTGATCGTGATGACGGCTGCCACTTCAGCGAACACCCTAAAAGCCACAAAATTGGACACTTCAAAATGCATTTCTCAAGCTCTTAACAAAATGCCAGCCTCGCATAATGGGCCAGCCCCAGCAGCAGGACCAAGAAACCCATGAGCGACGCCGAGGCTGGTGTACCCAGGGATGTGGCGCCCCCCGGGGGGATGACTGCCTTTCCTTGTCCCCAGTGCCCGCTGCAAGGGAACCCAGGGGCCCACCTGTAGCAGTGGCCTGGTTCTGTCCGGCCTGCGCGGCCTGCTCGCTGATCAGCTGATGCCTGGGAGACCCAGGTAACACGGAAGGAGGATACACCCGTGACGCGGTCATAGAAGCGCTTCTTGACCTTCCCACAGTCCACCACATACTTGATGCCTGGGATGGTGAGGGACGTCTCGGCCACGTTGGTGGCCACAACACACAGCCTTGTCCCCTCTGGGGGAGGTCTGAAGACCTGGGGTTGGAATCAGGAAAGGATCTATGGGGTGCAGGCACCGGGCAAGGCCAGGACAGCTCCTGACCAGAGGTCAGCGGGGCTGGGTGGGCGGGAGGCGGTGAGGTCAAGATAGCCCCAGATGGCAGGGGGAGGATAGGCTGGTGACATCCTGATGCCCTGCAGAGGCGGACGCCCTGGGTGTCCCGGGCCACACTCCCTCCAACAGTACCTGCGCTTGCTTCTCGGGGGCCAGCAGGGAGTAGAGTGGGAGCACGTGGAGGGGCAGGGAGGCGTCCGGCTGCTCACCTGCAGGGAGCAGAGGCCGTTGGCACCTCCTCTTCAACGGCTGTGCCCCCAGGCTCTGTGCCTGGGCGCCAGGCTCTGGCCCAGCACAGGAAGTGTGAGAGCCTGGGGGCTCCCAAGGCTCTGCCCTCTCTTCTGCCCAACCCAGGACTGTGACACCCGCCCAGCCACAGCTGCCTCCTATGAGCCACCTGGCCACATCTCCAGGGCCTCCCCCACTCCAGTCCTTGGCAGCATGGTGCTTTGCCCATGGCTCCTGAGCCCACACAAAAATCACAGGGTTTTTCCCTTCTTCTCCTTCTTTTAAAGAGACAGGGTCTTGCTGCGTTGCCCAGGCTGGTCTCAAACTCCTGGACTCATGAGACCCTCCTGCCTCAGCCTACTGGGGAGCAGGGACCATAGCAGGTTAGCACAGGTGGCCCAACCTGCCCCCAGCAAGGTGCTGGTCCACCTGCATGCACAGGGGCCCCATGAATTAGGCACCCCCCCAGGTGGCTTTGTGACCCAACTCCACCTGGCAAATGTGAGTGCTGGAGTAGTGACCCCATTTCTATCCACTGGACAAATGCTGGGCCCTTTGCACCAGGTGCACAGGGTGTGGGAGACCCCTGGATGGGCAGCAGAAAGCCCAGCTCTGCTGGCTCACGCTGTGAGGCACAACAGTGCGTGGCCACACCTGGGACAGGCCTTCTGTTCTATGTGGCTGCCCCTGGGCCCACGATGGGCTTGCCACGCAGAGGCTCAATACACGCTTCAGCAAGAAGCCCAGGGAGCTCAAGGGCAGGCTGCTCTGCCAGGGCCACACCTCCGTCGTCCCCGTCGTCCCCCAGGTCCAAATCAAGGTCGGAGCCCAGGGCCTCCTCCTCATCGTCCATCTCCGCCTCCCTGTCCTCGTCGCCTTCGCCCATTGGCAGCACTGAGTAGTTATCCAGATTGATCTTGGGCAGCGTCTGTAGTCAAAAGACATTGGCACTGTGGCTGCTGTGACCCTGGGGTGAGCCATGGGGTGCACAGGAGCCCCTCCCTTGCCCTGCTGCTTCAGCGGGCCCCAGGAGCCCCGCAGGCCTACTCAGGGGAGGGAAGTGGAGGGAGGGAGGGGAGTTGGGGACAGGAAGGACAGCAGGACGAACAGCATTATTACTGTATGCATACACATGACCGCAGGACCAACGTAACTCTGCAACACGAACTCTCAGAAAAATGAGCACCACGTACCACAGCCCGAGCCTTCTTTGCCCTGGCCCGGGACTTCTTGAACTTCCGCATTTCCTCCACCGAGTCCTTCTTGTCTTCCTTCTCTGGACGGGGGAGTGGGGAGGGAGAAGGACCCTATGGCCACTGCAGGTGCCAGCACCTGGCTTTTCATCACCCAGAACAGGGCCGTGGCACTGCGGTGGCTCATCTGGAGGGTGGAGGGCTGGGGAGGGGCCAACTCTTCCAGAGGGAGGCTAATCCCCTGCCAGGGCGCCTGGCAAGAGGCTCAGCTGATGGGCAGAGCGCGTGATCTGGGGGCCCAGGGCCTGGTTACCTGGTGCCCGGGACTTGGAGGCTGGGAAGGCCTTCCTGAGCCTGCGGCACAGCGCGTGCACCTCCGCCTGCCCCGTAAGGAACACCAGGATGCCACCTGTGGGGAGATCGCCCTTTACCTGCCAGTCACTCGGCAAACACTTGGCAACAATCGTCATCTGCCCCGCCCTGCAAGAGGCCAGGCTCAAAGGACAACCAGGAGCCAGGAGCACACGGGAGCAGGTACTCCTGGACCAATGGCACTGTAAGGGTGCTCATCAGACTGCGCAGGCCCCAGTTCCCCTACTGGGCACAGACCCAAAGGACGGAAAACGGCCTCAGACAGAAACCTGCCCGCCCTGTGCTGCACCTAGAGTCAGAGGGAGTGCCCACCACCCCCACTTCCACCAGCCTCCCCGGGTTTCCCCTGCTCTGCCTCTGATGGTGAGCGCCAGGGAGGCTGGGTACAGACAGCTTGTCCACCCGGAGCCTGTGTCCTATGCCTTGCTCATAGGGCCTCACCTGCAGGCAGCATCCGGTGGATCTTGCAGACCTTCCGGAAGCACTCGCCGCTGTAGTCCTGTAGTGGCGTGTGCTTGTTGAAGTGCACGGTCACAGGGAACTGCCTGGACTCCACCTGCAGGGCACCCGGAGGGAGTGGGCAGCTTGCCAGGGACTGGCCCCTCTCCTGATCTTTCTGGGTCGGGGTCTTTTGTAGATGGTACTGGGGATTGAGCCTGGGGCCCTTCACCACTGAGCCACAGCCCAGCCGCCACCTCCCACACGCTTTTAAACACGTGAGACAGGGTCCTGCTGCATTGCCCAGTTGGGCCTGGGGCTGACGACCCCACTGTGCCCACACGGGTCAGGGTCCCCAACACAGGATCATTTCCTGTGGCAGAAAGGCTCTTCTGGAGTCATAGCCTTGGAGGGTCACGGAGAGGACTGCCCCAGCGTTACCTTGATGACCGGAGGCGGCTGGGGGAAGAGCCGCTGGTTCTGGGTGAAGTCCTCCACCCGCAGCGTGGCCGACATGATGAGCAGCTTCAGGGGCAGGTGCCTCTGCAGGAGCACAGGCGGGGTGACCCACAGACCCAAGAAGCCAGGGGGCAGACTCACACCCCTGCCTCAGTTCCCTCTGGTTGACAGACAGCCCGTGGGAAGTGCGCGCCAGTGGCAGGACCTGCTTGTCCCAGGTGGGAACTAGTTTAAGGGACTCTCACCACCCCACCAGGGCAGGCTCTGATGGTGGCATGTGGGGCAGAAGATGTGCCCCAGCCCAAGGGCACCAGGGACACAGCTGCCGTCATGTCCATCTGAACCAAAACTGGCTGTCCCTGAGCTGGGGGAGGAGAGCTGGGCCCTGGCTTTTTCTTTTTTAAACAAACCCCATGGGTTTCTTTCTCTAGAGATTTTCTAACACCATCTGTGGGTTCCACTGTCCACCTTGGATCATGGTCCTGGCCATCTTTTGCTGCTAGGAAACCCCATTTGGAGAGCTCAGCAGCCATGGGCGCCTGGGGAGGACAGCAGGCCCTGCTCGCCCCACGGCGCCCTCCATCCAAGCCCTCCTAGCTGTCCCCATTTGCTCACTCTGTGGCCACACCAGGCCCCTGGTGTCCCCAAGAGAACCAAGACCACAATGAAACCATGGCATGCCCTGGACGGAGGAAGAAGGCAGATAGAAAGCGGGGAGCCCCGGCCAGGACGAGAAGGTGGACCCCACGCTGCCGTAGACAGGAAAGACAAAATCCACACTGCAGTGTCCAGGGCCTCTACGTGGCCCCCATGGCTAAAGGCAGATCACCGTGACCCGACAACCCTACTCCGCCACACCCAGGAGAAACAGAATGAGCCTACACTAAGAGCTGGACACATGGCTCACAGCCAAGAAGTGACGGAAGCCTGAAGGCCACCACCTCCCAACGATGGTGGGCACAAGACTCAGGTGCAGGAAGCAAAGCACTGAACCACGCCCGCTGCACGGAGCCCAGGAGCAGCGCAGCCAAGGAGGCCACCAGTAGAGCACAAAGCCACCCACGAGAAATGTCCCAGTTGACAAATCCAGAGTCAGAAAGAGGACTCAGGTCACCTAGGGGTGGAGTGGGCTGAGGGGACAGGGTGATAGCAAAAGGGTCCAGGTATTTTTAAAGGGTCACCTTTCCAATGAGGTCATCTCTGACGACCCTCCAGCCCCTCCCTGGTACTCCCTGTTCCCTTGGTCAAGGCCAGCTTTCAGAGTTTGCTTACCACCTATCACCTTGACCAAAGTGGAAGCCCCAGGGGAGAAGGAACAGAACACAACTGTCCTACTAACTGCCTGTCCCCCAATGCCCTGCATGTAGCCAGGTGCATAGGAGCCCCAGAGTGCCCACCTCTCTCCACCAAGGGCACAGCTAGGCCCGCGGTGAGCACTCCCAGCAGGAGGGCAGCAGAGCATGGCAAGGCAGACAGGACAGCTGGGCAGGAGTCACCCAGGGAGCCCCGCACAGCAACTTCTGTCCACGCAGGTTCCTGCGTCCATTCCTGCCTGACCTCCGGGGGCAGGGAAATGCAGGGGGGCCACAGCACTCCAGTGCCCCACCTCTGTGCCATTCTGAATGCCAGGGGCACTCTCAAGAGGGCTCCATAACTGGCCAGGCTTTCTGGATGCAGGGGAAGGTCAGAAGCATGGGGCTGGACCCAGGCCCCCACGGTGGGGAGGGCAGTGGGCCACGTCACATGGGCAGTTCACACCAAGACCCACAGTCCTGGTGACGGCAAGACTCAGGCCTGGGGCTGTCCACGGGGACCCAAGGCTCCTGATGGTATTCTGGCCAGTGCCCTGTGGAGGCCCCACAAGAGCAGGAACCGTCTGTTCCCTGGTGCCACCAGCTGTGCTACCTTTGCCCGGAGGGCCACGATGCGGGACAGGAGGCCGAGGAGGATGTCCGTGTACACGCTGCGCTCATGGGCTTCGTCCACGATCACCACCCTGTACTTGAGCAGCAGGAAGTCCTAGGAGGGAGGCGGACGTGAGGTTGGTGGAGCCGAGCCACCAGCCTTCAACCCAGACTCACTACTCATGGAGCCGAGCCGGGACTGCGGGCACAGACCCTGTGCGCGTGCCTCAGGGGAACCCCAGCTCCGTGACCCGGGGCAGGTTACTTCACCTCTCTGTGCCTCAGTTCCTTGTCCGTAAAATGGGGACAATAGGACCTGCCCCCAGGGGCTGTGGGGAGCATCAAGGATAACTGCTGTGACCATGCACAGCACACGGGGCGGGGCGGGCCCTGCAAAACAGACCACACAGGGACAGCTGCGGCCTGTCAGAGCAGAGCTGTGGGTGGGGACCCTGGCAAGGGTGGCTTGTGCCACGAGAGGCTGCCTAGACCTCATATTCCCCTGGTGGGCTGCAGGCCACAGCTGGAGTCACCTTTGCCCACCTGAGGCTGCCCCTGCCTGGGGGACAGCACAGGCCTGGTAGGAGCAGGGTGGTCCGTGACACCTCCCCACAGCCCCCGGAGGCTCTGTCCCTCCACCTGGGCAATGCACTCTCCCCGGGCACATGCAAGCCACCCCATGTGACCAAATGTCCCAGGAATCCTGACGCCCTCACAGCACCTGGAGGCCTGAGGTGCTGACTTGGGAGGCAGCAATGGAGTGTGCCGCTCACCTACGGCATCCTGGGACATGGGTGCCTGCAGCTAGGGACAGAAAACCTAGGCTGCTCCTCAGCTCTGCAGGACAAAGACCCGCGGCCCCTTTCCCTACTCCTCAGCATGAGGCTGGACCCCGCTCACCATCCAGGGCTTCCCCCTGCAGCACGCAACTGGACTTGGAAGCCCCAGAGGGGACCAGGTGGGGTCAGTGTGGCACACAGGGCCGTGACCAGCACAGCCTAAGTGTAGCACCACCTGGGGACGCAGCTCTGTGAGCCAAGCCATGAGGAAAATGCGAGATTGTATCTATGAGCTCCCACTGAGACCAGCGCCCTGTGCACTGTCCAACCTCTGCTTCAAAGGCAGGAAGACAGTAGTGGGCTAGGAACCAAGGCTCAGAGAGGTTGAGTAATAGGCTCAAGCCTACACAACACAGGCACAGTGATCCGCGACGCTCTGCCAGCAGGCAGCACAACAGCTGACCACAGCAGGGTTGACACTGACCCTGCCCCGACTCCCTGTCATTGCTTTGTGAGACAAGAGAGGCAGCCCACCTTCTGGATTTCTTTGAGCAACACGCCATCTGTCATGAACTTGATCCTGGTCTCACTGGTCACGTTTCCTTCGTAACGGATCTGGTAGGAGACGACCCTGCAGGGACGGGAGGTGGCTCAGGGCAGGCAAGGCCTCCAGCGCTGCAGCTCCTGGGGTACAGCCACATGGCCTCTCTGAGGGGGGCGCACACTGGGCAGGTGGCTCAGGAAGGGCTCAGCCGCAATCAAGGACAAGGCCCAGACGCCTCTTCCATCCACTGTACCCTCCAAAGCCCTGGTGTCCAGTGCAGAGGGGGAGGGGCTGTGAGGAGGGAGGAATTCCAGTGGACTGTGCAGCCACATCACCCAGAACACAATGCGGATCATGGCCAGGGGAGAGTGAGGACGGCTTCCTGGAGACACCCACCACGACCATCTTAGGCCGCTCGGCTGAGGCCAGCCTGGGCAGCTTAGTGAGACCCTGACTCAAAAGAAAAAAACAAAACAGGCTGGGTTGCGGCTCTAGGTGGTATGTCCCTGGGCTCAAGCAAGTGTCATCTTCCAGACTCACACAGTGACCAGGGGCCAATCCTCCTATGCAACTCGGCAAGGCCCTCACGTTATGAGGCCCTGTCTCAAAGTAAATAGTAGAAAGGGCTGGGGATGTGGCTCAGTGGCCAGGCATCCCGGGTTCAGTCCCCTGACGGCGGGGTGGGATGTCTCTGCGTGGAGCGCGGCACTCCGAGGCCTGGTAGAACCAGCTCCCCTCGGCCGTGCCGGGGACTCACTGGCAGGAGAGGGTCTGTGTTTTGGAACCTGCATCTTCAGCCACCCTGTCGATGCTAAGCCACAGGTGACCGCCTGGCTCCTGCCTGCTCTATCCCCAAGCTCCTGTGTGGACCCATCTTTCCCCTAAGTGTGTGACAGGGACCCAAGAGCAAGTGGCCTTACCCTGCTTTGTGGCCCCTACCTGGGAGGATCCTGAGGTCCCATGTGCAGCAGCCCCCACAGGATGCCCCGGGCCCCACACAGGGGACTCACTCTGCCCAGCACCTCAGGCACAGCCAGACCTGATGGCCCTTGGCAGGCCTGGATGCCCACTCCTGGGCGAGGCCCCATCGCCCCACGACCGCCCTGGAAGCAGTGCCTCACCTCTGTGACAGATTCATCTCCTTGGCCACTCGCTGGGACATGGCCACAGCAGCCACTCGGCGGGGCTCTGTGACACCAATGATGCTGTCATCGCTGGGGAGGGGAGAAACAGTGACAGCGGGTCAGCAACCTGGCCCCGTCTGACTGAGAGCCACCTGCGCATCACATGACAGGTGGCTGTAGGGACAAAGCCCTCACCAGGGCATGGGACAGGAAGCTGATGGCTGAGGCAGCACCACTAGGGGCACTGGAAGGAACAGCCAAGTGTCAGCAAAGGCGCTGTCATGGAGCAGGGACCTGGGCGGCCTGGCGGGCCCTCTGTGCCCAGCTGTCCATGTCAGTAACGGTGCTGAGCTCCCGCCTCCTTCTGGGGCAGCGGCCTTTGGTTCCAGCCAGGCAGCCAGTGGCCCTGAGCCACCAACAGCCTCCCTGGCAGATGCCATCTCACAACGAAGTGCGCGGTGAGGCTCTGTTGCCAGGGACTCGACACTGCACCTGGGCCCCACGACCCTGGCACCCGTTCCCACCCCGTCCACTCACCATAACCAGCCGGTCACTGGACCACACCACGCAGAGCCCTGGGATCCTCTCAGGGGACCACTGAGCTGGGCGTGGCCTTGAGAACCACATGGCCCACAGGAGGCCACACAACGACACCAGAGAACACCACTCCACGTGCCAGACGCTGACCTAAGCCTCTTGTGCAAAGCCACTAGCTGCTTCCACATGGCTACCTGAGACCCACTGAGGCCAGAGAGGCTGAGCAGCTTCTCTGAAGTCACACAGCATGCACACGGCAGAACCAGGACTGCAGCGTCAGGAGCTCAGGCTCTTAACCAGCTCCTGGGACCACGTTGCCACTGTCCCCAAGGGAACCAAACAGCACCTGTGTGCAGACCCTACCTGCTGTAGCCTGCTTCGTAGAGAAACTGGGGCACCTGTGTGGTCTTCCCACTCCCCGTCTCGCCACACACGATGACGATAGGGTTGTCAGCCACTGCCTCCATGATCACCTGCTCCTCTGCGAGGATCGGGAGCTTGAGCCGCTCTTCCTGGGGGACATAGAACACTTAGGGCGCAGAGGTACCTCAGATGGCACATACACAGTGACCGAACGGGGCCGAGACAGCTGGGGCCGGGGTGTAGAGCATAGCCCTGGACACCTGCAGCACAGGCCCCGCCAGGCACAGTCACCTGCCCCTTCCCAGAGAGGACACTGGGACTCAGGGACTGCCCTGCCCACATGCCTGGCCCTGTCCTCCCTTGCATTAACCCATGCACTCGTCAGAACCTGCATCTCGGGCACGCGGTTCACGGGGACGAACACCGCGGGCTTCGCCAGGGGCCTCGGCAGATTGGAGGTTGCTCCCTTTGAGGGAGAAGGTGCTGTAGCTGCAGAGGGCTGCCCGTGGGGTGCAGGGCTCTCCTGCCTACCCCCAGTTGGGGCCAGCGGAAGCTGTGCTGTGGTGGCCTCAGCAGCCGTCTCCTCAGGTTCAGAATCCCCCGAGGACTCAGCCTCCTCCTCTGCTGGCCAGTGGGGGCGCTTCCGGTGAGCCCCCACGAGGCTGCTGATCTTCTGGTGGCCCTGCACTGCCGTTTCGTCAGGCTTCCTGCCAGAAGAAGAGATTTCAGGGGCAGAGGCCTGGGGACACGAGGCATTCTGGCTGCCACACACCAGGGTTTGGGCCCCAGAGGCCACGTCTCTTGCCACCTCAGGGTCATTCCATCTACTGTTCCCTCTCCCAGAAACACCCTTCCTACAGATCTTCACCTCCGTCAAGGCTCTGCCCGGCCCCGCCCTCCCTCCGAATTGTCACCTCTCAGGGATGCTGACCCACCAGAGCCCAAGATGCCACCCACCCCCGTGCCTGCTCTGTACTAACAGCAGCAGACGGGACCCTATGATTCCTGCCCATTTGCCCCCCGCTGGGACGGAATCCTCTTCTGTGCCCTGTTCTGCCTCCTGGTGCCCAGAGCAGATCCTGGGACACTGTGGCCCTCAGCCAACAAGTCCTGGCCAGCTCATGCTCCACAGGCAGCCACAGGGCCCAGAAGATGGACACAGCAGGCCACGTGTGGAAACCACAGCATGGCGCACAGGTGGGTAGGGCACGGGGCTGCTCTGAGGCCTCAGGAAGGCCAGCCTCTCCAGCTGGCTGGCCAGCGGGACCCACCTGGGTTTCAGTGTGAGATCCCCTGGTTTCTGAATGCTGCCTGTACTGGGCTAACAGTGTGCCCCACCACTCATGCCCACTGGGGACATCAGAAGATGGCCTTATCTGCAACCACGGCCTTTGCAGCTATCAGGAAATTTACGTGAGGACGTATGGATACCACAGGAGCCAGCACAGCTGTTCTGTGCCTCTCAGGAGGTCTAGCAGCATGGCAGACCTGGGGGAGCATTTAACATGGAAGCTCAGGCCACCCCAGTACCTTCCCATGACGCTCCAATCCTAAAGACGCCACCCTGGAGGCCCTCCTGGCTGTGGGGAAGGAGTATGGGAGGGCGGCCCACTCACTCTTTGCTGTGGTACATGCGGTGGCCAGTGCCCAGCTTAGACGTGGTGTACAAGAGTTTCATCTCGGCCTCCGACACCTGGACCTCACTCAGCTTCTGCAGCATCTCCGCTCGCTGAGGAGGGAAAGGAGGCCGTTAACCCCGTGGCAGCGACCCTCTCCTTGGACGGGAAGGCAAGCAGTGGGGAGGCTCCGCGTGCTGACACCTGGACTCCTGATAGCAAGCCGCACTATCGCGCCGCCCACTGCCTGGACACCGCAGCAGGCTGGCTGTACGGTGCCCACCCTCATAGTGCTGGGGGCAGGACAAGGCTCCCTGCAGTAGTGCGTGGCTGCTGGATAAGCGTGGCTGCTCGTGTAACAGGATGCTGCACTGCTCTCCAAGGGAGGGACGATATGTACTGGTCCCCACGCTGCCCTGCATGACACAGAGCATAGGGCCTTCCACCTGGGACAGAGCTGCATGACTTTTTTCCTTTTGTTCTCAAAACTATACACATGTGCCCGACACACTTTTTTATGTCTGTTTCACAACTGTAAAGGAAGCTGGGCTGGGCGTGGTGGTGCACGCCTATGATTCCAGTGGCTCGGGAGGCTGAGGCAGGAGGATGGAAAGTTCAAAGCCAGCCTCAGCAAAAGCAACTCAGGAGACCCTGTCTCTAAATAAAATACAAAACAGGGCTGGGGACATGGCTCAGTGGTTGAGGACCCCTGAGTTCAATCCCTGGTACCCCTGCCCCCCCCAACAAAAAAAGGAAGCTGGGCACAGTGGTTCTGGGCAAGTTAGTGAGATTCAAAATAAAGTAAAACAGGCTGGGAAGGCAGCTCATGTGTGAGATCCTGAGTTTGATTCCCAGAACAGAAAAAAGAAAAACAAAAATGAAGAACAATGGAGAATATGAACCAGGTTTTGAAGGACACTCCCAGAAGAGCAGCACTTCCCTGCATGGCTGCAGGTTGCACGCCCTGGGTGCTGAGAAGACATGCCTATCTCCCCATGGGAACATTGGGTGCACCGCCCCGGGGTGGCTTCCTAAGTCAAATTTCACCCAGGAAGTTTTGTGATCAGGGCTCCTCGATGTGGGAGCTGCTGACATTTTGGGCTAGATGATTCTTGCTGTTCTGAGCACCCCAGGCTCTTCCCCATAGATGCCAACAGCTCCAAAGTCATTGCCATCCATGACACTGGGACAAGTCTGTGTTTAGGAGAACCACTGTTCTAGACCCTAATACAAACTTTCTGAAACCTGGAAGGCACAGGAAAACACATCAGAGATTAAAAAAAATTTAGTCCAGTCCACACTAAACAATGAGACAACATGATTTGTTCAACAAATGCTGCGGGAGGTAGGGAGGAAGGACTTATGAGACAAGTGGAGAGCATCATAGCAAGTTCATAGCCAGCAACTGGACATGTGGTGCTATTTCACAGCCATGGCGGCACATGCATTAATCCCAGCAGTTCAGGAGGCGGAGGCAGGAGGATCACAAGCTCAAGGCCAGCCACAGGAACTTAGTGAAGTCCTAAGCAATTTAGCAAGACCCTGTTTCTAAATAAAAGATAAAAGACTGGGGACAGGGATGAAACTCTGTGATTGAATCTGGGTTCAATCTCTAACATAAAAGAAATAGAAGAAAAGGTTGTTGTGATGGTGACTTAAAAAGTCATTATTTTAGAGGTAGATATTAAAATACCCATGGATGAGACAGTATGAACAATAAACTGAGAGCTCCGAAGAGATGCTCACCTCCTGGAGCCAGTGAGCATGCTCTTATCTGGGAAAAGCATCTGCAGAAGTAAAGAAGGCTCAAGACCTGCTTGGACCACCCAGGTGGCCCCAAGTCCACAGACAAGTGTCCTCACAAGAGACATGGAGGGGTGATAAGAAGAGGCAGACTCTGGAGACATGCAGCCACACACAAGAAAGCTGGGAGCCTTCAGGAAGAGGGTCAGGAAGAATCTTCCCACAGAGCCCAGGGAAGGAGTGTGGCCCTGCCAACAGCTGGACTGGGGACTTCTGGCCTCTAGAAGTAGGAGGACACATTTCTCTTTGTTTTAAGCCATTCATTTTGTGGTCATTTGTTATGGCAGACACAGAAAAGGGACAGAGATTTATGCTGCCTGGGGTTTGCTTCAGATCTTTCAGGGGTTGGGAAAGGACCAACAGCTGGAACGACCCAAGGCCGACCAGCAAGTGATGAGTAGGCACTGGTGATGGGCACATGGGAGTTCACTATACTGTTCTCCCTACTTTTGTGGATCTTTGAATTTCTCATTACAAACGTTTTTCCTTTAGGCTCTTTGCCCAGTGCTGCAGTAGCAAAGGGCTCTTGAATCAGACAGACAAACGTTTTTCCTTTAAATATATTAAGGGAAAAAATGGTTGAAATTCTCTAAAGTTAAAAGTAACATAAACCAGGCAATGTGGTACACCCCTGTAACCCCAGCAGCATGGGGGGCTGAAGCAGGAGCATCACAAGTTCAAAACCAGCCTCAGCAACTTACGGAGGACCTATAACTTAGCAACTCAAAATAATAAAAAAATACAAAGGGCCGGGAAGTTGCTCAGTGGTTAAGTACGCCTGGGTTTAATCTCTAGTACCAACATCATCATCAACAACAAAAATCCTCACAAAATGAATTTTTAAAATGTGTGCATGTTGCCAGGCACAGTATGCCTGTAATCCCAGTGGCTCGGGAGGCTGAGGCAGGAGGATCGCAAGTTCATAGCCAGACTCAGCAATGCCGAGGTGCTAAGCAACTTGATGAGACTCTGTTTCTAAATAAAATACAAAACAGAGATGGGGATGTGGCTCAATGGTCTAGTGCCCCTGAGTTCAATCCCTGGTACCCCCTCCCCACAAAAGTATGCATATAAATACACTGACTCTACAGGTAGCAAACACTTGGCCTCAACAAAGAGTTTGATGGAGGCCCAGATGTCAGGCTCTGGACCTACATGACCAGTACGGGCCCATTACCCATGCGTGGCTACTTGAATTTTAACTAGAACCAAACCCTGCTACGAGTTCAGTCCATCACACACAGCCGCCTCAACTCAGGGCTCAACAGCCACATGTAACCTATGGCTACTGCATCTGTCGGTGCAGCCTCATTTTGCAAAGTGCAACTGGACAGTCCTGCTTCGGAAACCACGAGGAGGGACAGAGACTCCGTTACTCCTCCCTTGGGAGAGCTGTGTGCAGGGCATACCTGGCTCTTCTTCTCCTTCTGCTCCAAGATTTTCTGCAGCACTTTCCTCTCCTTCTTGGTCAAAGGCTTCTTCTCCTTCCTGGACAAGGGAGGGGCCTTGGTCTTCTTCTTCTTTCTCCCGGGCAGCACAAGGGCATTGCTGGCGTCCACTCCTTTCAGTGTGTCCTTGTCTGAAAAGACACGCCTGCCTGACCCACAGTCGGGGACGCCAGAGTGCAGGAGCTATTCATGTCCTGTCCTCCTGTGAGGGGCTCGGTCCCCACCTCCGTGACTCATTCTCTTACCACTTTAAGCAAATGTCATTTATATACAATCAATCCCCACCTTGATTATCTCTACTTGGCTCTTGAGCATCCAGTCAACAGCTGCCTAGCTTCCCTGCTCAGACATCTCACAGGCCCCAAAGTACTCCCTCATCACCAAAGCTGGGCCCTTGGTGCTCCCCCTAAGCCCACCTCTTTCCACTGCAGCCACTTTTCTGGTCCAAGCATCATCTCTAGCCTGCTAGTCCTTCCCCTGGTCTTGCCTTCTACTGGTTTTTCTCAACACAGAAGCTAAAGTGAGGTATCAACATGTAAGTCCAATGTTCTGTGCCTCTTGCGCTCCAAACCTTCCATGGCTCCCCTCTCAAAAGTCCCCTTTGTCATCATTATCCCCTGGCCCCCAATTTTTTCTCCTCTCTCCACTTAGGCTCCCTGACCCTCTTGGATCTCAGCTCCCCTAACACTTTCTCAGCAGCGCCTTCCCCAGCGGCCCACCCAGTCAATTCTGCTTCATCTCCTTAGTACATAACATCCCATGCATGTACCTTAGGTTCACCTTTGCCTGTCTCCGCCCACAAGCACGCAAGCCCAGGGCAGAAGGGATTTTTATCTCCCTTTCTGCTATGTCTCAGTGCCCAGAATAGTGTCCACACATAATAGACTACCAGCAACACAGAGTCTGAAATGTCAATCAGCCTGATGCTGAGTGGACAAGCCGGGGCTGAAAACAAGTGTGAAGGTCTCTGGCAAGAAGATCAGCATCCAAGTCACGGGAATGGCTGCAATCACCTCGTTTCTTGCCCAAATGCTCAGATTACCAAGAAGCCCCAAGAACTATCCCCACTCACTGTATACACTAGGCTGTCACTGCCACTCCTCTGGATGCTGTGGAATGGGGTTCCTCTCCGGCAGCCCCGCCCAGACCGGTGGGAAGGCAGGGCACTAGGTCCGGGCCCAGCCCCACCGGCCCGGCCCGCCCCGGCGGCGAGGGCTGCGCGGCCTCCCGCCCCCCAGCAGCCCGCTCTCCGCGCCTCACCCTCCAGCTCCAGCCGAACAGCGGGCGGGGCAGGCGGCCCCTTCGAGGGGTCGGGGCCCGCCTGCAGGCGCCCCTTGAGGTTGTACCGCCGGCGCAGCTTGCCCATGGCGCCTCTCTCCCGCCGGACCAGCGGCGCGACCCCCTGCCCAGCCCACGCGGGTGCCGGGCCACCGACAGCCGCGAGAGTTCCGGGTTTTGGTGTCGCGAGATCTGAGACAGACTGAGTCGCGGAGGGGCGGAGCTGGAGGCGGGACCCAAGGGGAAGCGGGGCCGAGTCTGCCGAAGAGCGGGACCATCAGGTACAAGGGGCGGGGCCATAGCATGGAAGGGGCGGGGCCTGGAGTCTGAGCGAGGCCGGAGGCCAGAGTTTGAGCCCTGGAAGAGACGCAGGTGCAGGCTGAGTCAAGAGGGCTGAATTTCTACTGATTTGGCTGTTGGAGTGGGAGTCTTTTTTTTCTGGCACTGGGGGCATTGAACATAGGGTTGCTTTACTTCTGAACTATGTTCCCAGCGCTCCTCCTCCTTTTTTTTTTTTTTTTTTGAGGCAGGTTCTCGCTAAATTACTTGAGGTCTTGTTAAATGGCTGAGGCTGCCCTGGAACTTGCAAAGTCGTTAGCATTACAGGGTGTGCGCCAATGTGCCCGCCTAGAGTGGGAGTCTTTATTATCTTTTACTTAAACTTTTTTTTTATGCGTGTTTGTTTTTGTGGTGTTGGTGACTGAACCCAGGGCACTCTGCCACCGACCAACCTACTCAGCACTGCTTAACCTTTCAAATACAACCTTGCCCCCAATACAAACTTCCCCGGTTTGCTCATCTGCATTTTCTGACATTCCTACAAGTATTGTGCATTAATTGTACAGAAAAAAGCACCAAATATTTCCATCACAGAGACAGACATAAAAGAAGTAATCTGTTAATTTGATAATTCTCATTACTTCCAGGTGGCAGGTGGTGGCACACATCTATAATCTGGGAAGCTGAGCCAGAGGATATTTGTGTGTGTGTGTGATACTGGGGGTTGAACCCAGGGCCTTATGCTTAGGAGGCAAGCACTCAACCAACTGAAATATATCTCCAGCCCTGAGGCAGGAGGATTTTAAGTTGGAGACCAACCTGGGCAATTTGGCCTAGACCCTGTCTCAAAAAAAAAAAAAAAAAAAAAAAAAAGGCTGGGGATATAGCTCAAATAATATAAACAAATAAATAATAAAACTGTCATTACTGCTTCATGTCACATTTCCTGAGCCCTATGATGGTCTCACAAATAGAATGGTTACATTTTACCACATTTATCTCTTAAAAGTATTAATTTGTTAAAGGCAAACATTTAAATTGTATCACACAAAAAAGATAAAGCTAAGTTTTATCACAAAAAGGTGACTTGGAGACTATTTTGTAATTTTAGAAAGAAAAAAATTATTTTTGAAAATTTCCCCCTGGGTAGAGTGGTTGTCTAGTACACACAAGGTCCTGTGTTCAGTCCCCAGCACCCTAGAATACCAGATCAAACAAAAATACAAGAGCTGGGAGGAGCTGGGAGAGCGAGGAGAGAGGATGGGTAATGGGTACAGAAGGGCAATTAGATAGGAGCAGTAATATCTAATTATCTACAGCGCAGTTGGGCAACTGGGTTTGATAACTGTGGTTTAACTGTATATTTCAAAATAGCTTCGAGAGAGGATTTTGAATGTTCCCAGAGAAAGAAATTATAAATGTTTGAGATGATGGATACACCAATGGCCCTGTGCTGATCATCACACATTGTATATACTGTGTTGAAATATCACGGTGTACTCCATAAATATGTATACATATATATTTTGTGTGTGGGGGGGTACTGGGGATTGAAACCAGGAGTTATGCCCCCAGCCCCCAAAGAAAAAGAACAGAAAATGTTGTGGGTAAAATGCAGTGGTAGATCCACATGCTTACTAGCAGAGGCAGACCCTGGATTCCATCCCCAGCACACCCCAAAATATATATATGAATTTGAAGGAATTTTTAGCACTGAGCTGGGGTTGTATAGCACTCGTCTGGCATGTGTGAGGCATTGGATTTGATCCTCAGCACCACATAAAAATAAATAAATAAAATAAAGGTATTGTATCCATCTACAACTAAAAAAAAATCTTAAAAAAAGGACTTTGGGACTGGGGTTGGTGCTCAGTGGTAGAGCACTCACCTAGCATGTGTGGGGCCCTGGGTTCGATCCCCAGCACCACACAAAACTAAATAAATAAAATAAAGGTATTGTGTCCAATTACAACTAAACATATATACTTATGTACATATATAGATTTTCAGCACATCAAACCTGCATTTTCACGGACTTTTGCTTGGGATGATAATGGTTTAATTTTTTTGTGCAAGGCTGGGACTATAGCTTAATGGTGGAGCGCTTGCCTAGCAAGTGTGAGGCATTTGATCCCTTGGCACCACACAAAAATATAAACAAATAAAATAAAGGTATCATGTCCATCTACAACTAAAAAACTAACAAAATAAAGTCATGCTGTCCATTTACAACTATTAAAAAAAAAAAAAGTTTCTTTGGGCTAGAGTACTTGCCTAGCATATGTGAGGCCTTGGGTTCTGTCCCCAGCACAAGAGGGAAAAGTAGGTAGTAGTACACTCTGTTTTATTTTCTTCCATTATGTTGTATAAACTTAATTATCTTTTGCACTGCTGGGGATTGAATCCAGGGCCTGGCATATGCTCGGCCTGTTCTCTAACCACTGAGCTGCATCCTCAACCTCCATAATATTATATAAAGGATTAGCTTCCAGAAGGTATACAGAACATACTAGAACTCAAGAAGAAAAAAAACCCACACCACAACATGGTTGGATCTCATGAAGCTGAATGAGGGAGGCCAACCACCAAAGTCATACTGTGTGACCTATTTATATAAAGTTCAAATGCAGGCAAGATGACACCCCTAAAATTCAGGAAGGACATAGTGAAGGGGAGGGGACAAAGGGAGGCTTTCTGGGGAGCTAGTGATGTTCATGTTTTATTTATTTTTAATTTTTTTTTTTTACTGGGAATCGGAACCAGTATTGATGGATATGCTGGATGTGGTAGATATGCTGGATATAGATATGCAGTATATGCTCAATCACTGAGTGAAATCCCACCCCCCCACCCCTTTTTCAAATTTCATTTTTAGACAGGGTCTAGCCCTACGTTGGTGAGGCTGGCCTCTGACTTGCATTTCTCCTGTCTTGGCCTCCAGAGCCTCTGGGATTACAGGCATGAGAGGGGCTCAGATTGACTGGAGTTTTTATACCATGGAACAAGGCCTCGAGGTGGGAGGTCCGTGGTGACTAGCTATGGGAGGACAAGGGAGGGGAAAGCTGTGAACTATGGCCTGTCTTGCCATGCGGAGAAAGTTATCTCAGGAGGAAGAGGCAGAAAAGGGCTAGTCTGTGGCAAAGTCCATCAGGAGGACTCCTGGAATTGGACAAGTGAGTCCCTTCCTGAGTTGGGCTCTGAAGCAGCCAGTCCCTCCCTGACTTGCCTTTGCTCTTTCCCAAGTTTTCCTGATCCGAGTGATCAGTAAAGTCAAGTGGCTTATTTTGCCGTGGTATTTCCTGGACTTCTTCAAAATCCTCCCAGTGCGTTTCATTAACATGGCTCTTAAGCCTCTAACACCAATCATCCAACCATCCCGTCAACTTCCATGCCATTTATGTATAGCGGAAGCTGGATGGTTGCCTGTGGAGGGCGCCCCCTTCTGGGTTCTTCTGCTTTCCCTCCATCCCCCTAGTTCCTAGTTCCTATAAACTCAGTCCCTAGAGGCCTCTAGGTCCCGGTTCAGTACATCTTAGAATGGATCCTAGTTGGCGCTGGTGCTTCCTGACCCCAGGGCCTAAGCAAGTCTTGACCTGACCCTCCTTTCCAGGCCGCTCCAACCTTCACCTCTTGGGTTGAGTCTCTTCCGATGATGTTCCTGGTCAGAACCCATCATTTCAAATGAAGGGGTGCTAAGAGATTTTCCAGTTCTCACACTTCCTCCTCGTGTATGGGTTGCACCTTTCTTTTTTCATTTTTTTTTTTTTAGTATTAGGACCAAGGATTTATTCCACAATATAAACTGCAACATTTGATACAAGCTATCAAAAAATAAGGGAGGGAGGAAGGGGCAGGGAGAAAGCCAAAATACAGCTGTGGCAATTATTTACAGCGCAGTCTCTTTTCTACATCACTAGTTCATCAGTGACACTAGAAACTAGACATTGCTTTCTGTACATCAACCGAATGCTAAAGCACCAACACACTGTTCAGGAGTTTGTTTTGTTTTAATTCTGTAAGGGTAAAATAAATTGAAGTTAAAGCTTAAAAGTTAAAGGGTAAAAGACCGGGTGTTGTAAAGTTTCTAAGCTGCAAGGTCTGAGTTAAAATGTAAAGGATTAGGTATTGTTAGGTTTCTGTGCTACCTGCAAAACCTGAAATTTCTGTAGCTGTTAAGACAATGCTTGGAACTGCCCAGTAAATATTTCCCCTGACTATTTGGATTGTTTAATAAGGGCTCTGTGTGGTCGCACATAGGCATTGCAGGGCCTGGACCAATCAGTTTAAATGTAACCCCCTCCTTAGGAATGACCTATCACTCCAGCCTGACCTGTTCCCGCCAATGAATGAACTAATCATGTTTAGGAGTCGTTGTTCAATTTTCCCGTGCCTAATGATGATTTGTTCTGATGTATACAAAGCCCTTCGCCCTCCCCAAAAAGTGTACTTAAGCAGTGCTCAGCCCCTGCTCGGGGCTCTGGGCTGCTTTCCCTTCTTGAGCGGGCACAGAGCCCCAGCATGCTGGTTCAATAAATCCCCCTTCTGCCAATTGCATGAGTGGTCACTTGGTGGTCTCTTTCTCCAACATTTTGTGGGACCCTTACAATTCCAGCCACTGAAACCAACACAGAAGTTATTGCTCAGATAAATAAACCTAGTCTACCAGAAAAAAAGAAAAGTGGATAAAGAAAGGAAGAAACAAACAAAAATCCCCACAGTGGAAAAACTTAAAATCCCCAATGTGGTAACAGAGTAAACAAGAGAGGGATTCCTCAAATGAGGATTTACTTGAATTTCTGGTGCCCCTCTGGGCACTGAAACTGAGTTGGGTCTTAATCCGGTGAATCCCAGACAGAGGTACTGAAGCCAGATTTAAAATTAGGTAGTCAGTGTAGTTAGGTAAATCGGGTCTAATATTGAGTGAAATCTAAAATGGAGGCCATGCTGAGAACAGACTCTGGAAACGCAGGACAACTCATGGAATGTTAATGAAGTCCTGAGAAAAGCCCTAGGCCCAAAGTCCATCCCAAAGGAATGTTAATGGAGCCCAGGAAACAGCCCCCAACAGATTTGTAGATAGTCCATCCCAAAGAAGTGTTAATGAAGTCCTTCCTGCCCAGATTACTTCTTTGGCCCACCTGTGTCCCATCCCTGGGGCCTTCCAACCTACATTCCATCACTGAAAGAACTATAAAAAGGGGAGACAACTGCACTTCCACGGATTCCACCTCTTGGGTCCCCTTCTTCCTCCGGGAGAAGTCTTTTCTGCTGTCCTTTAATAAACTTCTAATTTCTACTCTGACCTTGCCTCGGCGTGCTTCTCTGGTGTTATTCTTCAACATTGGGGAAGCAAGGACTCGTCACCGGTTAACAGCGGTAACAGTACAATTTCAATGCTGTACATGAAAAGGTGCAAGCTTCAATGCCTTCCAAATTGGTGGAAACCCCTGCAAAAAACAGTCAGCGTTTCAAACCTCAACAACCTCAAACAGCTCTTAAGGAAAAAAAATACAAAAAGTGTTAAAAAATTTTTTAGTTGTTTTTTTCTTTTTTTCAAAGAGTTCTGGAAAAATGATCCCATGAGGAATAGAAATAGCACCATGTACAGACTGGCTTGAACACCACTCGTGAAGCTTTGCTGAGATTTGAGGAAATCTTCTTGATTGGAGTCCTGAATTACATTAAGTGGGGGTGTTTGTTTTGTTTTTACTTTCTGCTTGGTGCGTCCTTCCCAGTATAGCGCACACAGATGTAGTCTGTTGGGTTGCACTTTTCTATAGAGAACCTTCCCTTCTCCCCTATTTCGTGACTCTGAATGCAGTTCATCCCGTAAGGGCAGGAGGATTGAATGAACTGATGCTCCCAGGGGTCAGTGTTTGGGTACCATGATAGAAAACCCAGGGAGAGGGGTGGGGTTGTGGCTCAGTGGTAGAGCGCTTGCCTAGCACTTGTGAGACACTGAGTTCAATCCTCAGCACCACATATAAGTAAATAAAAAATAAACAAAAATAAGTAAATAAAAAAGAAACAAAAATAAGTATTTAAAAAAATAAAAAAATGCAGGGAGACATATACATATGTTGTTCGTGTTCTCCAATGAATTGGAGCCGTTACATTATTGGGCTGTCGCAAGTTTTGCAGACATGGGTTGCTTTATGCAGCAAAGTTAGAAACATTTTTTTTCCCTCCCAAAGAATAGGAAGGGCCCTGCGGACCGCGCAGGCCCTTCTAGGACGGAAGGCGGGGCGGAAGGGTGGGCGGGGCGGAAGGGTGGGCGGGGCCGCATGGTGGGCGGGGCCGGGCCTGCGCGGGGCGGGGCAGGTGCACGGCTGCGGCGGTGGCGGCGGCAGAGGCGCGGTGCGCTCGCCAACGCGGTCCCGGCCGGAGACCGCGGCCACCTCACGCTGCTGCACGACCCGCACTCGCCGGACGAGCATGGGTTCGTGCGCCTCGGGCGGGCCCCAGGCCCGGGCCGGGCTCCTGCTGCTGCTGCTGCTGCTCGGGCTGCTGGCCCCGGGCGCGCGGGGGGCGCGGGGCCGCGGCGGCGCCGAGAAGAACAGTTACCGCCGCACGGTCAACACCTTCTCGCAGAGCGTCAGCAGCCTGTTCGGCGAGGACAACGTGCGCGCGGCTCAGAAGGTGGGCGCCGGGGCCGCGCCCGCGGTCACCTTGCCGGGCGGCCGCGCACCTGGCGCCCGGGGCCGGCCTGGGCCGAGCGGCCTCGGTGGCCTGCGGGCCGGGCCCGGGAGGGCAAGGCGGGCAGTCTCCGGCCCGCAGCGCGCGGGGCCGGGGCCGGGGTCGGGCCTCGGGCCTACCCGCGCCCGCCCTGCGCTCCGCGCGGCTCTGTGGACCTGGCCGAGGCAGCGCGGCGGGCCTCTCGGGGCTGCGCTGACGCCGCCCGCGCGCGCCCATTCATTCTCCGCGTTTGAATGGGCCCCTGTGAGCCAGGCGCCGCCGCCGCGCCCCGCCGAGCTGCCGCGACCGGGGCAGAGGGAGGGAGCCGCGCGGCCGCACCTGCCGGCTGCGGGCCCTTCCTCGGGCCCCGGGTTTGCTTTGGAGCTGACAGGGGCCTGGGTGCCAAGGGGGCGCCCGCGCGGCCCTCGGGCTGGGTGGGACAAGTGCCCCATCTAGGCCGGAGCTCGCCGGCGATGGCTCAGAAAGGAGAAGTCGACGGAAACAGCTGTGGGTGGACGATGCCTTTGCTCGTGGCCCCCCCTGATTTCAGGAGTAGAGAGAAGTTTGGGTTCAAGATGGTGTTAAGTGGCTTCACTTTTATTTTATTTTTTATTGTATCGGGAATGAAATCAAGGGGTGCTCTATCAGCGAGCTACATACATCCCGAGCCCTTCAGCATTTTCAGACATTTTTAGATAGGGTCTAAGTTGCCCAGGCTAGCCTTGGACTTGGGATTCTCCCGAGTAGCTCGGAGCCCTGCTGTGGCTTCAGTTACTTGAGCCTCCGTTTCTTTACCTGTTAAATGGGGAGAGCAGTGACACCCCTTCATTAAGAGGTTGTGATTATGAATAGCTGGTACTTTGCTGGCCCAGAATTGCCCCTAAGCTGATATCAGCTCTTGGCATTTCCTCATCAGGGCGCAAATCAACATTTTTTGTAGGCCTGCTGGAGAAACTTCATGGCTTAAAAAAGAAAACAAAGTTGGTCCTTGAGATGGAGTGGAAGCCCAACAGGCTCACCATTCTTATTCCTTGAAATTAAAGGTTAGTTTATGAGGAAGACCAGCAGCTGCCCTCCTTGTTATCTGGGTGTGTGGACGCCTTTTGCAGAGATTGTGGCCCAGTGACTCCCTACTGTAGGACCAGCCATCTGGGGGAGAGAACTCTAGGTGTCCAGTAGAGAGGAAGAGGTGTGGCTGAACACCCCAGTGCAAACCTGGGCAGGAGTGTGGCTCAGCCATTTTGAAGACAGCAGCCATTTGTGTTAGGTCAAAAAGAAGTCTGCCTTTTGTGCAGGGTAACCCCAGGGAACCCCATGTCTCACTTGACACTTTTATGAAGACTCTTAAGGTCAGCTTGAAATCCAGAATATTGAAGAGTTTCTGCCTGTGGGGTATCAATAAAACTAGTTTATTTTGACTGAGAATCTGGTGGTTGGAGCTTCTGGGGTAACCAGGGTTTTATCTTCATTAGAGATGATGAGCATACTAACAAAGTCTGTTAAAGGCTTTGAAAATCTGCTTAAAAGTTGCCAAGTACCTTTTTTGTTTTGTTTTAATGTACCAGCAATTCAGGGACACTTAACCACTGAGCTACATCCCTGGCCCTTTTTATTTTGTATTTTGATACAGTGTCTCACTAAGTTGGTGAGGCTGGTCTTTAACTTGTGAACCTCATGTCTCAGCCTCTGTAGTTGCTGTTGGAATTACAGGTGTGCACTTCGGTGCCTGACAATTGCCAAATGCTTTCACAGAGGAAGTCATTTAAGTCCTTATTTTTGGTGCTGGAGACTGAACCCAGGCCCTTGTTAAGCACATGCTCCACCACTGAGCTGCATCTCATTTAACTCTTGAACAGCTCAATGAGTGAGGTTCTCTTTTCATTTCACAGACGGGAATTGGGCATGAGAGAGCTGGGACTTGGACCCAGAAAAAAGTGGGCATGAAGCCCAGCTACCCTCCCCACTCCCACCTTCTCCTGTCTTGACCCTTCCCTGTCCCCTGTGTGTGCCACCTCAACAGGTAGCTGACCTGACTTATTCTGCACATGTGTATAGCCCAGACCAGCCAGGTGCCGGAGAGATTGTTTTGTTAATTTTAATGAAAGCAAAACTGGGTCTGCTAGCAGCTGTAGTTTTCAGGGTGCCTGGGCATACTATTTAGAACCAGACCTACCTTGTGGGTTGTGAAGTTGGAGGCTGTTTAGAGAAACACCACACATTCTAATCTAGGACTAGTCTGAAATAAACCCACCCCCGTTGGCATCACGGGCCTTGCTATTCAGCAGGCCTAGGTTTGGATGTCAGCCTCTGCCTCTTGCCAGCTCTGTGACCTTGGACCAGTTGCTTTACCTGTTTCTCATTTGTGCAGAGGAGGTAAATTGGAATGTTGAAAGTGACAGGTTAGGTTGTCACAGTACCTGGCACTGGATAATTGCTAGATCAATGGGAGGGAATATTTGCATATGAAAAGGATTTGTCTGGTAGGAGGTGGTGTGTGCTGCAGTAGGTGGAAGTTTGAGTAGATGGATGTTCCTTCATTCTTTCAAAAATGATTAAGGGCTGGGGGTGTAACCCCATGTTAGAGCAAATACCATACACAGGGTGCAATCCCCAGCATCCAAGTACGTAAGTAAATAAATGACAGTTATCAAAACCCAGTGTGTGTAGCACTTTTCATAATAACCAGAAAGTGGAAATATCCCAAATATTTCTCTGCTGAGTTGGGGTGGACAGAACGTGGCCTGGCCATGTAGCGGGATGTGGCTTCGCCATAGGAAGGGAAGGAGGGGCCTCGGAAGCAGTCACAGAAGCCAGCAGAAGCCAGAGGGACAGGCAGGGCCCTGTGGCCCCTGGTATTGTTCATATGAACCATTCAGAACAGGAAGCTCCAGAGAGACAAAGGTCATGCATGGGTCTGGGGTAGGGGACTGTGGTCACCTCCGGTGATGAAAGTCGGGAATAGATAGTGGTGGCCTCTGCCACATACTGGGTATGCTTAGTACCTCTGAATTGTACATGTTAAAATGAGCCGTGTGGCGAGGGGGTGCAGGCCTGTGAGACCCTTTCTCAAAATAAAGTAATATATATAAAGGGGGCTGGGGCTGGGGCTCAGTGGTGGAGCACTTGTCTGGCATGTGTGAGGCGCTGGGTTCAAGCCTCCGCAACGCATAAAAATACAAGTGTTGTGTCCATCTACAACTATAAATAAATAGAGGGGGGCTAGGCTCGTAGCTCAGTGTTAGAGAGCCCTGCATTCCATCCCTAGAAGCAAAAGAAAAAAAAAAGCTTAAAATGGTGAATTTATAGTTAGATGTATGATCTTACAGATTGGTATATTATTTTATAGTTAGACATATTAATTTCCAGTTAGATGTATTTTACTGCAGTTTTGAAAAGCACAGCATCTACCTATGCAGAGCACAAGCCAGACCAAATAATCCTTCTTGGGGGACTTTTGTCGGGTGGCAGCCACAAGGAAGTAAAATGGCTGTCGTGGTATTGAGGGTGACCTTTGCTTAGGCTCAGCATGCCTGACGCTGCCCTGAGAGAGGATCTGTTGTTGTTTCTGTCACAGATGAGGAGGCTGCGGCCTAAGAGGGTGACTCTGTTGCCCACAATCCAGCGGAGTCGTGTTGGCACCCTGTCAGTGGCCAGCTCACGACCTCTGCAGAATTGAAAGTAACTGAAATGGGGCTGGCCTTGAATGAGAGGGAGCAGGCAGGGGAAGAGTGTCCCCGGCAGAGGGACAGCAAGAGCCCAGGCTCTGCTGCAGAACAGGCTTGGCATGGGCAGGGCAGGGTGACCAAGGAGAGCCAGCCCGGTCCTGCAGGTCAGATGAACTAGACTCCCTGGTACCTGAAAGGTGTTCAAGAGCTTGAGGAATGAGCCCAGGGAAGGTGGTGGGGGTGTAGGTGTCCCGCTGGCAGGTTGGGAGGAAGGAGCACAGGTTCTGTGTGGGTAGACGCCTGGGCTGGGCTGGGCTGGGCTGGGCTGGGCTGGGACGGGATGGGACAGGACTGGACACGGGCAAGGCTCAAAGGTGGTTCAGTGTGCAGTCTGTCTGGATCTCTGGAGCACAGGCGGAGAGCCTACCTGGATTGATGGGGGGGAGCATTCTGCGTGCCGACCTGAGAAACTGCTTTCTTCCCCCGGCTCCTTGGCCGTAGTTGCATGGAGTATAATTTCAAATAATTGAGGATTTTAAAAATGTGTCTCCTGGCCTCACCCCCTCTCCTGCCTGCTTTCCTAGGGGCCGTCAGAGGCTAGGTAGGGCTCATCCTCCCTATCACTGAGTTTTGTTGGTGGCGCTGTGAATGCTGCTTTCCATGTTTTGTTTAATACAAAGAACTGGTTTTGAAGACCAGACCTTGTCAGCACAGAAAGCTTAGCTCTGTTCTCTTTGAAGAACTGTAGATACCAAGTCATTTTGAAGATGTGCCATGATTGAACCCACCCTAGTGGGACGCTCCAGAGGGACCCCAGTGAGGGTCTGTCTCTACCTGCTCTCCTGCGGGCACAAAGGCAAGGTCATTGGTAAACTGGTAGAAATGGGACTGTCGAATCAAAGGCTCTGTGCATTTTTTTAAACTTTGAATTAAAATATAAGGTGCTGGGACTGGGCCTCAGTGCTACGTAGAGCGCTTGCCTGGCATGCGTGAGGCACTGGGTTCAATTCTCAGCATCGCATATAAATAAATGAATAAAATAAAGACCCATCAACAACTAAAAAAATATATAATTGGTTGTTCCATTCCCTGGAAGTCCCTTGGAGCTCCTCCAAGGTCACTACTGACCCAAGTTAGTTTTACCTGCTCCTGTCCTTCAAGGGCAGTCCCAACCCATTTTTGTTTTCAGCATGGAGAGAAGTGACTTAAGTTGTCCTCTAAACACACAGGGACTCCTTCCAGACCTCCTCAGTGAACTGTGCCATTAAACTTGAGTTTTGTCGTGCCCAGGAGAGACGG